TCTCTTATACTCCATCCATGTTCAGTCCACCAGGAAGTTGTGTTGGCTCTTATTTCAAAATATATCCAGAGCCTGAACACCTTCCCAGCTGCCCTGGTCTGAGTCACCATGATCTCCATCCTGAATTACTGCAATACCCATTTATTGGTTCTCATTTCTGCCTTTGTCCCCTCCCATCAGTTCTCTACACAGTGGCCAGAATGACCCCTTAAAATGCAACCAAGGTATTCTTTTTCTCCAATCCTCCAGTGGCTCTCCAGCAAGAGCAGAAGCCTTCCAATGCCCTTCCAGCCCTGCACAGCCTGCTAATCTGCCCTTCTCCTCTCACAGCCACACAGGCCAAAGGCTGCATCCCAGACACATCAGGCATGCTCAAGGCTCTGGATCTTGGCACCTGTTTCCTCTGCCTCAAATTATCTTCCCCTAGATATCCACCTGTCTTGCTGCTTCACCTCCATCAGACTTTTCCTGTCCCTCTATTTCAAATACCAGTTGTGTATCCAACTCTGCACCCACTTTCCAATCCTTCAGTTTTAACCAAAGCAGAAACACTATATTTTACTTGGTCTACTGTCTATCTCTTCCTGCTATATTTAAATTCCATGAAGCCAGGGAATTTTGTATATTTTGTTCACTGTTGTTTCCCAACACTCGGAACAATTCCTTGGCATATAATCAAAGCTCAGCATTGAATACATGAAAAAATATGAACGAAATGGATCTAGGAGTAAGGCAATGAAGCAGTCAAGATGACACTGCAAGTTTTAACTTGAGAAACTGGACAGGTGGTGAGATGGGGAAGCCCGAGAGATGACTAGGTTTCAGGGCTCGGGAGAGAATAGAGCTCGGATTTGGAGATATTAACTGTGAGATGTCCATTAGACATCAAATAGAAACATTAGTAGTAGGCACTTGGATATATAAGTCTGAAATTTGGAGACTCTAGGGGTTAGAGTCAAATGTGAGTGGCCATCAGCTAAGTGGTATTTAAGTCATGAAGCCAGATAAGCTTATCTGGTCAGAGAACAGAGAGAGAAGGGACTAGGCCCAGTTTTGTGCCAACCTTAGAGACCGAGCAAAGAAGAGAGTGTTAAAAGAGACTGAAAAGAAGCCAGCAATGAGGCTGGAGGAAAGCCAGATGTGTTGTAGGAAGGTGGGACTGGAGAGACCAGCCACAAAGACAGAGGTAATCATAGGCTTGACAGACTCAGGCTCAGTGGAATGAGAGGACAGACGCCGACTGATATGGTTGGAGGACAAAATGGAAGTGAAGTGAAGAAGCTACAGTCCACTCCTTGCATCAGTTTTGCTGTGAAGGGGAGCAGAAAAGCAGAATGGCCATGCCCTAGACTCATTTCCAATCACTGCTTCATTCACAAGCATTCCACTCACCCTCTAACCACTCATCTCTCCAGCCCACTTCCTCAAGTACTGGCACTTTAACAAAGTCTTCAGCCCCACCACAACCTGGAGGCTCACGCTCTCCCTTCCTTCCTTACCCTGCTTCCTACTTTCCATGGCCCACCACCCAGGCCACTTCTCTGCATTTCACCTTCTCCCTTTCCCCTCTTCTCTCTCCTTCCATCACTCAGGCAAACCTTAACTCTGACCAAGTCAACTCTTAGTTCATTTTATCCCTGCATTCAAGGAGCTAAACCTGGCTGAATCAAACACACAACCATGCTGATCAGCCTTGTTTTAAACTTACGAACATCAATCTCAAGTAGCTCTTGAGGAATATCGTGCAATATACCACATTTCCCTGTTGAGTTGACATTCCTACTTTTAAAGACGATTACTTCACACCAATACTTTTCCCAAGCCTCCAGCACCCCCTCCCACTTCCTCACTCTAATTATTTTGCTTTTTAGTTCACTGAGAAAGTAAATTGAGACCATCTCGTCCTCCTGCCACAAGATCTAACCTGCCTACATCTATGCCCACACATTCTGCCTTGCTGCAAAGGTCAATGCTTCCATTTGTACACTGACTGCATCAATTTCCCCCTCCTATGGGATTATCATCATGCACACACTCACAAAGCTGCAGTATTTCCCATCCTGAAAAAACACCTTCCTCAGATTCCCTCCAGATACCAACTCGTTTCCCTGCCCCCACTTCTCAGGTCTCTGGGATTCTTCGCAGGGTTCCCTCCCTAACTTCGTTCCATTTTCTGATGGTCACTGCTTTAGAGAGATGCCACCTGGGTAACAGTCTGTCCTCTCCCACCTAACGAAATCCTTTTTTCTCCTTCTCCGTTTATTTCTCATTAGCACTTCTACTACTTCAAATTATATGCTTGTCTCCCCTCTAAAATCTAAGTAAGCTCCTTGAAAACAGGAGTCTTTATCTACTCAACCCATACCACCTACATACTGTGGCCACTCAAATCACTGGTTAAATTACAGAAAAAGGTATTTGAAAAGGGAGGTTCAAAGGCAGCTCTTCATTGTTAATGAAGGTAAAATACAATAGCATCTTTTTGTGTTGATGGAAAGAATCCTGTAGAAAAATGTGTTAATGTAGGAGTGAGGGAGGACGTAGAAGACAGAAGAGATATAAATATAGGCACATTGCTGGAGTTTGAGAAATGGAAAAAAATAAGGTCTGGGATGAAACCTCCACTGGTTCTCTGTATGTAATACTATCCTTGGAATCCTTCCCCACAGAGCTGACTGCTGGGATTGTGTTCTGAGAAGACACCGTTACCCCTTGCATGAGACTGACCAAAGTCTGCGGCATACTGAATTTCATGATGCAGCAGGCTTCCTAATAAAAATACGTATTTATTTTGCATAGCTAAAACATTAAAGCCCCAGGGTGGTTTAAAAAATAATAGCCTACACTTTTTTTTTTTTTTGTATGTACTGTAAACTAAGAATGACATTTTCATTAGTGCCTCTTTTTCTTTCAGGAACTATGTGAAAAACAACATTTGCTTTATGAGTCATCACCAAGAAGAATTAGTGCCAAGACAGCCTCAAAAAAGAAAACCCCAGGAGCAGCTCTTGGAGTGTAACAAGCTGTGTGGTAGGGGCCAATCCAGGCAGCTTTCTCCAGAGAACTAATGGTCTCAACACCTTCTGAACGTGGATAGTGCCAGAACGCTTAGGAGGGTGTCTTTGGACCGGTGCATAGTTGTGACTCCTGTGCTTTCTTTTCAGTGTCATGGAACTGGTTTTGAAGAGACACTGAAATGGTAAAGACAGCCTTTAATCCCCTCTTCCCCAAAAGGAACCTCAAAAGGTAGACGAGGTACAAGGTCCTAAGTGATCTCTTTCTTATTCTGAGTAGGATATCAGGTTAAAAAAGAAGTTACTGGCTGGTTTCATACTTTCTACCTTCACAGAGCAGCCTTTGAATAGACTATGTCCTAGTGAAGACATCAACCTCTGCCTTAAGCTATGTATGTACGGAGGCCAGTCACAGCTTTATTATTCAGACACACAAGTGGTCTGGACGTAAGGGTACAGGTTTTGCCTACCAAGACACTGCTTGCAGTGGGTCCTACGCAAAAAAGAACCAGAACACACAGTGTGGACAACTGCCCATGTATTCCATCTAGATTAGGAGAGGGTCCTGGCTAGGATTTTAGTGGTAATTCCTAGTTACATTCAACAAGTATAAAGATTATAGAGCTTATTTTATGAACTATAAACTACAATTTAATGCAAAATATCCTTTTATGAATTTCATGTTAATATTGTGAAATATTAAAATTATTCTGCAATAGTTGAGAAAAATGAGCATTTTTTTCCATTTTTAAAAAATGCATAGAAAAGACAATTTTAAAATCCTGGGACCATATTTATTTAGAAGTAGCTGTTAGTAAAACATTAGAAAAGGAGTCAGGCCATTAGGTTATTTATCCAAATCTCTAAGCAATTAGGTTGAAGTTATTAAGTCAAGCCTAGAAAAGCTGCCTCCGTGTAAGGCTTTCATGACAATGTATAGTAATCCACAGTGTCCTGCAATTCTTCACACTCCTCAGGAATATCAATACCTCAGGTTACGGCACACAGGCTACACTCGATGATGACTTTCAGTGACCGAAGACACAATAAATGACATTCAGACATCAGGACAATTCCCTCGTATGTTCTTCTCTATGATGGCGGCCTGTACAAGCAATGTGGGTTTCACCCACACAACGATGAACTGTTCTCTACTTCTCCAGCTGATTTTAAAGACTTGGTAAGAGGTCTCACTAATAAAATTTGGGTATGATGATAGAAAATCCATAATCAAATCTTGAACCAAGTAACATATTAAATTACTAATACTGTAAGCGATGGAAGACACAGAAAAAACGTAAAAGCACGAACAACCTAACTTGAAAAAGAATTTTAAAATATGATTAACCTAAAGAAAAGAGAATCCTAAGAGCCAGCTCCTTCTTACTTAGCTTGGAATTTTCCCATTGGTTCCCAATAAACTGTCCCAATGTCATATAAGGCAACATGATCTACTACATTCCTTTATAACAATGTGGAGAGACTATAAACCTATGTAAGTAGTAAAACTATAAGATCAGAGACTCAGGAGACTGACTAAAAGGCCTGATCTGCAGTGTATTATCTGTATTAAAATTGCAGGCGAAGCTAAAAGGAAAGGAGATTTGAGATCTCAATTCTATCACAGTGTATTTCACATGCAAGTCAGAGCATGCATTGTTGTTTGTTTTTGGAAAGAGAAGGGAAGTGTGTTCTGCCCCACGTTTCCTTCCGTGTTTATAGTTCAAACACTATATATACTTTAGTTATTTTTTGGTTTAGCCATTCATTATAAATGGGCAGGAAACTGTTTATCAGCCTAGCCGGTTTATTACTAGTGACCTCGACTTCAGTATCTTGAGTATTCTTTTGCATTTTTATTTTAATATCCCGAGTCTGTAACTAAACAATTTTGTCTCTAAATTTGTATCCAATGTTCATTGCCCCACACCAAATCAAGCTTTTTGATTTTCAAAAATGAAAAGGGGGAAATACTTACAACTTATACATATATATTCACAGTTTTTATTTATAAAAAAAATTTACAGTACTTATGGAGAGCCAGCAGAAGACATCAGAGCACTCACTTCTTCCCCTCTTTGTTAAGGTTAGTGAATTACCCATGGACACTGCTAGGTGAGGCTCACTCAGCAGCCCTGAAAACAGACCCGGTCACACTGTCTTTACCCTCTCCCTTCAGATAAAGCACTTCGATTAGCTATTGATCTGCACAGTTTTCAAGTCATGCGAATACTGAAAAGGTTGTAACATCTGGATCTGTACCTTGGCTATATAAGCATGTTTTCCCCCATTCTACATTTCTTTTTTTGGTGAACATTGCAAAACAGGAGGTGACTTATTACGGTTAATTAAAACTAAATGAAAATGTCAAATCTTTAAAACAGTGAGCTTGTAACTCTTTCATGTAATTTTATTCTCTATATTTATGAGTTTGGCTATCCTACTGAATCTTAAAATAAAGGAAATAAACATTTTTTTTTTTTAAAAGGAAAAATAAAAGTCTAACAATTCCAATGAAATCTTTCCTAAGAAAGAAAAATGTAAGTTCGCCTTTGCCTTCCACTTTGGAGTAAGAAGCAGGTTAGGGAAGGCATTGAGAAGAAAAAAGATAAAAATAAAAATAATAAGTGTTGTTCAGTGCAGTGCCTAAGCTAGGTTTTCAAGATTTACTTTATAATACGGTAAGGAAAATGTACTATATATGGAGGTTAGGATGTTGCAACTTTTCCACAAAGCTTTGAAAACATTTTGGAAATACAGGTTTTTGTGGAACATTGTGTTGAAATATTGTCGCCATTAAGTTTCTCCTGAGAAGCTAATTGGACTCTCCACTCAGCTTTACTTCTAGGTATAATCACTGTTGGTTACACTAAACTCCTACACCTAAGTGATAGGGCACAACTACGCTTAATCCTGTATTACCACATCAGGGCTCCTGGGTGAGCCAGAGACACTGTTTCATAAATGCGTATTTATTATAACTTTAAGAGTAGCAATCTCATATACTGAATAGTCACTCTTTAACTCCATTAAATAAGATACAGCAAGGGGAAGGACAATATCGCACAAAATGGCTTTCAAATTCAAGAGGGGCTATTTGATAATTACATTGTGGCACAGAGGCGGCTTGTGGGCACTTCTTGTTAAAACATCTCCATGTTACCAACTTCTGACAAGACTCTTAGTATAGGCTTGGGCACCAACCCAAGATTAAAGTCAAGAACCTCAATCACTTCTCTACAACTACAGGTGTTGAGTCTTTCCAGAAAAACAAAGATCCAAATGAGGCACCATTCATCACAGCTTCTTTCTCATGGCCATCTAGTGGGTAAGAGGTTTCTCTTCTTAAAACTACAATTTCTTAACCTTTACAAGTTATTTAACATTTTCTATCATATTAAATTAGCAACATAAAACATTATCCTTTATCTATAAACTTCTAGTCTGGTTCTCTAGAGTTTATATACACGTTTTTATTTCTAATCTGCAAGAAAAAAAAATTCCTATTTGTTATTTGGTAACAGAGCATTAAAAGATACTATACACATGTGGCGCATATATATGTATATATATACACACACACACAAAAAATACACTTCAAAAAGAAGCCAACACACTTTAGCCAAAGTCTTAAGCTTGCATAGATTTTAAAAAAAAGTATGAATACAATTTTTGTTAAAATAGAAAATGGGGAATAAAAGTTACAGAATGGATATGAAGAGAGATCTTTTCCAAACTTTTATTTGTGCACATTCAATTGAAAAAGATAACTTTTACAGGTTCTTTGGTGCCCATATTCAGCATACAAAAATGTAAAAGACTATTCACAAATAAAACACATTAGCTCAAAATGGAAAAAAATAACAATGACAACAATAAAACAATCTAAGGTAGTGCACACTGTGACAGCTCTGCTTATGGGGACATGAGAATTACTGCGAAAATAAATAGAATGTCCTTTTGTAAAAGCAGCAATGTCATGTCTTGTAAACTTCCTTTTATATTACAGCAAGGTTTGGAATAAAATCCAAAGGGACTGGAGCTTACACTGTAGCCGTGAATGAATAAAAGAGTCTATCTCCTCAATTACTGTTGGTCCAGTTTTCCTTTTGAGTCCAATGTGCAGCAGGTTTAAAAGGTGCTCAGTTAGAGATTCTAACCAATTAAGTGGTGAATTATAAAATTTCTTTCCTGCTTTCAAACACAAATGGGTAAATCTGTTCCACAGCAGTAGCAACAGCCTTTACATTGGGCCCTGTAATAAACACAACGGAGGAAGGAGTGAGAAGAGTTGGAAAAGGGAGCACTAGGAAAAACTGATTTTCCAGAATTAAAAATATTCAAGTGGTATAGAATATCACGTTAACTGTTTAAAAAAAACTACACATATAATTATACACATAGCCATAATAAGTAAAAATAATACAGATTTTGTTCTGGGCAATTAAAGGACACATGAAACACAAAATGAGGTTATTCACTTTGTTTTAGGGCACCAGACCGAAAAAAAAAGTATATAAAAAACTGCATACAAACTATCATGGACTAATACAAAAAGTACTGTAATATAATATGTACATGAAAGGAAGGAGTAACAAATGGGACTAGATAACAGCTATCCTTTTGATCACTATCATCTGGCTTCTGGTTAGGCTACAACAGAGGCTCAGGAATATGCAGGAACACAGCAGAGTGAAACAAAGCTGCCACCAAAATGTTGGGAAACCAGAATGCTGTTTTAAAATATATGGTTTAAAAATCCCCACAGATTTACCACCACTGGGTATCCACATGTTTATTACCAATCTGGTCATTTCACCCTCAGAGCTTATACAAGTCAATAGAAAACAAAGCACAAGGCTACGAGGTGACCGTGCATTATGTTAATTCTTGAACAACTTTATAAAAATGTAATCTTTCATTTAAATTGTTAAAAAGAAACATAAAAAAGGACAATGAAAACTATTTTCATAAAATTTATTTTGAATAAAAATGGCTTCACTAATACACACTTACCTCTTTTGAAAGACCCAGGAAACTAACAAATCCACCCACTGTAAACACTCTGATGGTCCTAACCACATCCTATCTTGGTGAGGTCCTTCCTGACTCACTTTACCCCCACCCTGCTATGCTTTGCTCATGGGAACCAATTCAATATTACTAACATTTCATAGGATATTCCTGATCTAAGTAAACAATGCATACTACTTAACCACGTCAATTGTCTTCAGTTTATTATTGTTTTGTTTAATATCTAGTAACTCAGTAAATACAGAGTTTTACATATGCATTGTTTTATTATATACTTAGTAGAGATAGATCAATAGGCTTTGGGCCTGCTCAGACATCCAGCCTCCAAAGTGTGGAAACAGAGAACAGAAAGAAGGGAACAAACAGACCTGTCCCCTACCATCCCATATTTAAGATTCAGGTGGGATCCTGGGAATATGCTTTGAAAGTCCCCAAGGAAGATGGGAAAACCCATGGGATGAGTCAAAACTAAAATTTATTTGTTGAGAGACTAAATTGTTATTTTCCTCTATGGACTGAATAAAGAAAAAACAAAGCTCAAGGACATTGAAGACATTTTCTTTAATTCTTTTTTGCCTAAGGTTGGGCCTGACTCCCAAGCAACGTCTCTGCACAATTTATAATCATAGTACCATTAAAATGTCACACAGCATGCTAATGCTACCCTTTGACATGAATGCCTAGTTTTCTGAAACCACCCTTTCTCCAAATAAAGATGCAAAAGATGTAGCAAGATAAACATAACAAACAGGTACCAATTATATTTAATATTTTGCTTATGTAAAACTGAAGTTTATAAAATGAGTTTCTCATGAGAATTTTAAATATAAGGTATCATAAATTTACATACTATGGATACATATACCAGAATATATATACATACACATATATAATATGTGTGTGTGTATATATATATATAAATTTTTCTTTTTTTTTTTTTGGAGACAGAGTCTCACTCTGTTGCCAGTCTGGAGTGCAGTGGTGTGATCTCAGCTCACTGCAACCTCTGCCTGCCGGGTTCAAACAATTCTCCTGCCTTGTAGCTGGGACTACAGGTGTGCACTACCACGTCCAGCTAATTTTTTGTATTTTTAGTAGAGACAGGGTTTCACCACGTTGGCCAGGATGGTCTTGATCTCATGACCTTGTGATTAGCCCGCCTCAGCCTCCCAAAGTGCTGGGATTACAGACGTGAGCCAATGCACCCGGCCCACCACAATATTTTTAAAGCGCCATACTGGAAACTACTCAAATGCCCAATGAGAATGAATGATAAAAACAACTACACAGAACATAATATAGATGAAACCCACTAAGATAATGCTGAGTGAAAAAAGACACAAAATAGTATGTGTAACATTTATAAATAGTACAAAAGTAGGTAAAATAAATCTACAGTGTTAGAAGTCAGGAGACCGGTTCCTCTTAAAGGGCAGAAGTAACTGAAAGGAACAAATCAGACATTATTTCTATCTTGGTGTAAGCATCTTGTATCATTCAATCCATAATTTACAAGTTTGGTTTCAATATCATAGAATACCTGTTACTGTGATACTTCCTGTCGAAAAAATCTGTAACGTAGCTCTTAGAGATTTTATCCGATAGCACACAGCAGGATGAAGTTCAGGTTCATAACTATACAAAAGAAGCCACAATTAATATAAATATTTACACCCTGACTAGTAATTTCAAATTTGGTAATGTATCAAGATAAATTGCTTCAAAGACTTACCTGGCATGAGGTCTATTGTTCTTTGTGAATTCTGGCAAACGGATTTCAAATGGCATGTTACACACTGCCAGAACATTAACAACCTTAAAATCTGTAAATATTACCTTTAGGAGAGAAGTAAAACTCAATAAATTTATTTTGAAACAAACAAAAAAATCTGCTCATCATGGCAATCCTTAATAACCATCAATCCTTAAAGCCAAGAGCAAACAAGATAAAACAAAAACATTTTAAGTGTATGTTTAGTACTGTAAGTTATGTAGCATTGAAAGCTTTAATTCAATTTTTTAAAAAGCCCAAAAACTTCATTAAAAAAATAAAACCAGAGGTATTTGCATGATTAAAACAGTATGGGTCTTTCTAATCACATGTTTAATTTCTTAATACTTTTAAGTGAAATATTTAAAACTACTGAGAAAGGACAGAGAATAGTGAGGGAAAAAATTTAAGTCCAGGTCATCCTGCTAGAGTAAAAATGGAACACATGTCACCTTAGAAAGTCAGTAAATACAGAGTGTACACTGGGCTCCAAAAGTCAGATGTTTTTCTCATATGGAATAAGGCAAAATGACATTTCTGTGATAATATTAGTTAGATGTTTATTTTCTTTCTGGGGATAGAGTGATAAAATTGTTTTTAACTAACTGGGATTTCTCTCAACACTTCTAATGTTACACTAAAAGAAGTTCCAAGGCCGAAAACAATGCTCTTAACCTTAATAACTTTGGTCACTCCTACCAACATCTTCAACTGTTTCATCTCATCTTTTCAAACATTCCTCCTAAAACCACAATTTTGGGTAAGCTAACTATCCTTCAACTCAGCCTTGCACACAGCAGTTGCGCAAAGCCAGGAAACTGCAAAGTGGCAGCACTCTCAAATCACAGTACAACTCAAGACTCTCTCTACTGCCACCCTCCCTCAAGCACCAACCCCCACTCCCCACCAGCCATTCAGTCTCCTCCTATCACCCTCTACTTCAGAGAGACTGAGTCATCAGAGGCAAACGTAACTTCCTCTCCCCACTTCCACAAACTTGTCTCAATCCCAAACAGCCTTGCCCTCATCTTCAGGGACCATTCCCATCTTTATCTTTCATTTATTCATCATTTGCAAGTGACCTAGCAAGTCCATAATATGTAATCATTTTATTCAAAGGTATATACCTCTATCAAGTTATAGTGATGAGGCTGACATGCCGGTGACAGTCACGTTACATGTGTGAGAGCCTGCCAGCTGGTGTGTCCATGTCAACGGGCCTCTGCCATTCTCTATTCACCACTCTGACCTGGCATTCTTGAGATAACCAAAAACGATTTTGTTTGTGTACATCAGAGGTGAAAAAAACTTAGAGTTGAAAAGGAAATTAACTTGTGAGGAAACAAGTCTCTTTATGGGAAAGGAATTAGGGAAAAAGCTAGGATCCTTTACAAATACCCACATGGCCAAATTTTGCTACAAATTTTCACACTGAAGGGCAGTATTAAAAAACCTAGAAAAAGTTCAATCATAAGAATAGTATGTATAGTGATTTCTTGAGTCTATTACAATTTTTAATTCTACAAAAATAAATCCTTAAATATTTATAGTTTAGATACTGTTTGAAAATGTTACCTGAAAACCTAGTTTCTGCAGACTGCGGGCTAAGCGTCTGGCACCAAATTTAGCTTCTTCTTCACTATGGTATTAAGGAAAGAAAAAGATTATCAGTTATACAGGAAATAAATTTTATACTGAGGAACACAACAAACTTCACATATGATTTTGCTGTTAAGTCTAGGAAAATGTCCGTTCCATGAGGGAAAAAGCAAAAAATAAAAACAAAAAACCCAAGTAGCATTTACCTTGTTGCTCCAGTGCAAATAATTTTTCCTGAGGACCAAATTGTAGCTGTAATTCTAGGTTTTCTAAGCTTCATTAATACTTTCTGGGGGAAAAAAAAATCTGATTACCTCATAAGCATTATTTTTCACTTATGGTTCTGTTCTATATAGTCATATTAATGTCCAAATACTACTCTCCAAGCTTATCCAAGACTGCAATAACTGCTCTCCAAATCACCCATTTTGAAATCAAGTACAATACTGAACACAAAGAACATATTAATCCAAAAAGACATTTGATTAATTAAAAATACAAGGTGTATAGAAATCTCTCACTCTATATACTTGAAATCAATGTACTCCAAGTACATAAACAATTCAACTCTCATTCCACTCCAGTCACATAACTGGAACTTGCATGGCTCCTCACACACACGAAATCTGTTCATGCCTCAGAAGCTTTGCAGTAGCTGTTGCTTTCATTTGGAATAGTATCCCCTCAATATTCTCACTTCATTCAGGTCTCTTACCAGATGTCACCTCCTGAAGAGAGGCCCTCCCTAACCATTTTCCCTGAAACACCCATCACTTCATCTTTTTCTAATTCCTAACTCTGCTTTCTGCTGTTTCATGGTACCCATCTCTACTTTATATTGTATCCTAGAGTTGAGATGCTTATTACATACTCTAGTCCAACATGGGCATCTTGAATAAAGGAGAAATGTTGGAGCTGGAGATGTAATTAGAAATTCATTAGCTTTGGAAGGCATTTAAAGCTATGGGTTAGAATGAAATAACTACAGAGTGTGTATCAATAGGTCAAGGACTAAGCTCCAAGAAAATATGCAAATTTTAATTTTCATTCCAACTATTCATTAATGGAAATATTTGTTAGATGCCCATTCTACATAAGAAAGACATAAATGCTCACTGACTAACATATAAATGAATCAGATGTTTCTGCTTAAAATTTTTGTTACATTTTGTGTTCTTCATTCTCTGTCATATGCCATATTATCAAACTAGAAAGCTATTAAATCTGGGCAGACTTAAAATTTACCAAAGATCAAGATAAAATTTGAACTAAAATACATCATAAAATTTCATATACAAGTGACTGAGAAACACTTGACTGAGTTTATTCCACATTTAATTGTCTCTCACCGCCACCAGCTTGTCTATCATCTCAGATTTTTCAATTAACCTTCCTTAAAAAAACTATTTCCTTTCCATATGTCATGGTGAAGTACCAAAGCAGTGTTAGGCATATTCCTCTCTAAACTTTTGAGCAGACATATTGATTACTTTTCTAAAGGAAAGATGGGATTGCTGACAAACTTGAAAATCTTTGTGGGTCACTGAAAATTTTAATTGAATTTAATTCATCTTTACTTAGTTTCTAGTACTAAGAATTAATGATGGCCAGGCATGGTGGCTCACGCATATAATCCCAGCACTTTGGGAGGCTGAGGTGGGTGGATCACGAGGTCAAGAGATTGAGACCATCCTGGCCAACATGGTGAAACCCCATCTCTACTGAAAATACAAAAATTAGCCGGGCATGGTGGTGTGCACCTGTAGTCCCAGCTACTCGGGAGGCTGAGGCAGGAGAATTGCTTGAACCCAGGAGGCAGACATTGCAGTGAGCCGTGATCGTGCCACTACACTGCACTCCAGCCTGGCGAAAGAGCGAGACTCCGTCTCACACACACCCAAAAAAGAATTAATGACAATTTACATAGGTATCCTGGCACCTAATTTTTAAAGCTAAACAGAGCCTTGAGATGCATTCTTAATTTTCATAATAAATGTGTAAAATACATATCCATCTCATCAATCTTTGGTTTATAATAATGTCCAATGTCTTTTATAATGTTAATCTCAAAACACTAAGGTTTTATTATTACTTATTAATATTCAGGCTTTAAAATATTACAGGTTTATCAAAAACTAAAATTCAAGATGTCCACGTCAAGATATAAATCATATTATTTTCAGCAGTTTGTTATGAAAGAAAACCATCTACCTTTGTTAAAGAAGAATATGATAATTAAAATACTATAAAAATTATATATAAAGGCATCATTCAAATATAATTACATTTTAATAGGTACATGTGAGAATATAAAGGTCCCTTTCTTCAGTTAAAATAAACTGAGAGAACAATAAAATGTCTCTGTAACCAATGAGTTCTTTGCTGATTCAGGTACCGGCACTCTATGTACAAAAGCTTGAACCTCCATGAGAGGAGGGACTGCTTTTACAGGGCTCACTTCTATATCCAGGACAACCAGCACATGGTAAGGTGATCATAAATTATCTGTAGAATGAATACATTTTAGTATCACTCATAGAACTATAAAATTAGGCTATGTAGTACAAATACGAAAACTCAAATACTTACTCCAACATCACGTTTATAAATTACATTTGCTCCTTCCAAAGCAATCTTCCTTAAGTTTAAATGGCATCTTGTTCTAAAAACACAGACTACATTTGTAATTAGAATGTCCAATGCAACATCACTGTCTGCATCCATTGGGGTGGTTTTAAAATTTAGCTTTCCACCACGAAGATCACATCCTGAGAAATAAAACAAAATAAAGTCATTAAACTTAAATGTTCTGTTAATTCACTTTTCACAAACAATCTTGAAATTGAAATGTAAAAAATGAATCTATATTATTTATTTTTCAAATGTTACTAGAATCAAATCATGTCCCTGGCTGGGCACGGTAGCCCCCGTCTGTGATCCCAGCACTTTGGGAGGCCAAGGTGGTTAGATCATCTGAGGTCAGGAGTTCGAGACTAGACAGGCCAACATAGTGAAACCCGGTCTCTACTAAAAACACAAAAATTAGCTGGGCATGGTGGTGCACGTCTGTAATACCAGCAACTAGAGAGGCTGAGGCGGGAGAATCACTTGAAACCGGGAGGCGGAGGTTGCAGTGAGCCGAGATCGCATCACTGCATTCCGGCCTGGGCGACAGAATGAGACTTGGTCAAAACAAACAAACATTAACAAACAAACCAACCAACCAAATCATGTCCTTTCTTCTCCTCACTAAAAATGTGATTTTTTAAAAAACTAACATGACATCTAATGTACTTCAAAATCTAGGCCTAACTTTCATTCCTTAAATTAAAAAGTAACTTTTACTTGCCAGGAGCTTGCCAGACTCATCTCCTGCTATTCCCCTCTACAAACACTATGTTCCAGGTGTACCACAGTAATGACAACTCCTCAAACGCGCCACGTTCAAGGGTTGGATTCTGGCCCCAATGTCTAACCCTTAGTGGCATATAACCCATCTCATGCAACTTGCTGGCACTATAAAAAAACATGGCATACTTCTATTTCAAGCAGAGTAACTGACTTAAATTTAAAGCAGCAAAAATATGAATAACATTTACTAACAGAATTTTCTCATTACTAACCATTCATTCATTATTTTCTTTCTGAACACCTCTAGACTGAAGATAACAGAGGCAAAAAAATGATTAAGGCAAAGTCTTTTGTCCTCAAGGAGTTTGCAAACTTGGGTGTACAGGAGGAGCTCTATCAAATAATTTGCATAATACCATTTTTATCAAGATCAGAATCTCCCAACATATATTTGCCCAGACTCTTATGATTTACACAAACAAACAAGCCCCAGTTTTTACTAAGTATGTGACCCATGACCCAGATAAAAAAATTCTCTCTTTGTGTTTTCACACGTCAAAAAATAAACAATGGCAATTTGGCTTAACTCACAAAAAGATCAGAAAATAGTAAAAACATACTATATTTGTCTTTAAAGTTCCTTGCAGCCACAATGTAAAAAACTAGTATTCTTTATAATAAGGATTCGTAATATATAACTACAACAGTGAAGGGGCCAAGAGTCTAAATAAAGAAGGTCTTGTCTCTGCTTTTCAGTTTCTGAGAGAACACAGTGGCAACCCAGACCAAGACTTCTGACACCTCTATGGGACCATATGGCATTCAATTCTGTGTATCAATTGTACCTCAACTTCATTATATTTTTTCACTCTTATATTCCCATATTCCCTTCAATCTGTGTATCTTTTTGTTTTTCTGTTCTTTGTACATGTTTGAGCTACCTCAAATAATTTTTATGTATGAGGAGTGAGGCAGGGGTGACAGCAGGAACTGATGGATAGATATATAGGCAGACAGATTAAAAAGCAGAGGCACAGGGCCAGTTTATTACCATTGGTCTTAAGCATGCGCAATGTCTGACTCACCACTTACTAGCTATCAGAACTTGGGCAAGTTATGTAACCTGTGTCTCAGTGTTCTCATATGTAACATGGAATAGATCATGCCTACCACAGAGCAGTGCTGTGAAAATTATATAACGTATGAAAAGTACTTAGTATATATATCTAGGATATTGTAACAGTAAATGATAGTAAGTATTGATGAAATAAGTTCAAATCAACAGGCAGATCAGAGGATTTCTTCTGATCATGGGAAGTAATCACTACTTCCCATGATTACATTAGAGCCCAGTTACTAAGCCATCTGGACAGCAGCAGGTTTTCTGCTAGGCTCCTGGCTGCTTACCCCAACATCCATTCCACCCTGCCTTCATGACCACAGCTCAGATGTTTAGCTGGGTACAATGTGGCAGAAATAAAATACTATAGACGTCAAGCTCCCTGGCAACAACTGGTATAGCCAACTGGCCACCTGAATATGTTCTGGTCAATGAGACATAAAATAAAATTGTTATGTACCTTCTGGGAAGTCTACTTAGAGCAACCAACTAAGCCAGCAAGGGCTCCTTTGCCTTTCTGCCCTTTTTCATTCTTGCTGTCTAGAGGTTGGATGTGAGAGCTAGAGTTCAAGTAGCCAATTTTGCACCACGAGGCAATGAGGATGACGATGGTTAGAACAACAAGATAGAAGCAGCCTGGGCCCCTGATGCTGTGAATCTCCTTATTCTCCCTGTTCTTCTTAATTCTAGACCTTATGAGGATGAGAGAAAAATCAGTTTCCCTCATGCTGGCTTTCTGTGATACACAGCCAAACCTAATCCTAACTGTTGCACTTCCCTTAAGGATAAGCTACCACAAAGCAACTACTTAAGAAGAAACTCATGCGAATCAACTATCAAATTTACTATTTTACTTGTTTTTATATAAACAGGAGAAAACAAATGGACTGAGATTTACTACTTTGAGTTCTACTCTACTCTGAATTTACTATTTTGAGTTCCACCTGAGGGGACAACACTAAGGACGATATAAGTAAAACTAAGTCAAGAAAAAAAGGGTAAAAGCAAATCTGTGTGAATGCAAAAAAGGAGCCTTGAAATTAATTCAAAATTGATGACTTTTCAGCATTTCAGCAACTTGAATTTTAAAAATAAGGTCATGGGAATAGTTCATCATAAGTTACTAAGTATTCATATTTTATAATATGAGTAACCTGACAAGCAGGCTCAGAAAAGATTGCTTTAATAAGAAGTTTTCAATTAAAGATGCAATATAAAAAGTCAACACTTTTTTAAAAGAGGCAACCCACATGAGAGACCACATTTTTCGAAGCATGAAAAAAGGCCCACTTGCAATCAGTTCATCTGTCTTGCAGAACAAGAGAACAGAACTGGATATTAACAAAGATTTAGTTTTTAAAGCTAAACATATTATATCCCTTTTCAATAGGATAATTAGAATGACAGCCCAATGAAACAGACAAATCTCAATGCCTTTTTTTTTTTTTTTTTTTGAGACCAAGTCTCGCTCTGTCGCCCAGGCTGGTGTGCTGTGACACAATTTTGGCTCACTGCAACCTCCGCCTCCTGGGTTCAAGCAATTCTCTGCCTCAGCCGCAGGCGCCCTCCACCATGCCCAGCTAATTTTTGTACTTTTAGTAGAGACAGGGTTTCACCATCTTGGCCAGGTTGCTCTTGAACTCTTGACCTCGTGAGCTACCCGACTTGGTCTCCCAAAGCGCTGGGATTACAGGAGTGAGTCACTGCACCAGGCTGACAAATCTCAATTTCTACAAAGCATCTGACTGCCTAACAGGTCCCTTGTATTTTTTTAAGTGTAGTGACATAATTTATCGATGAGTTAAACAGGTCTATCTGACTAAATATTAGTAGTTCAGAGGCTTAGGTTATTCTTGAAAACACACACACCACTTTGTTTAAATTAAAACAAGAAAAACAAAACAGCTAAAGGAAAGATGGAAACTAATTCCCAGAAGGGAATATTCCAAATTGTTTATGACTATGATGGTACCTACACTTAAACATCAGAATCATCTATTTCCCCTATTAAATTCTAAGCTTCTTGAGGTGAAAGACTGTTTTATCGGTCTATATATTCCCATGGCTCAACATCGTATCTAACACATTGTAAATGTTCAATTATTTGACATATGAATGCTATGAAATCCAACATTTCAAACTCCTAACTATATTAAATTTCTCATCTACCTACAATTCCAAATTATTTCTTTTAATTCTAAGCATGAAAAAAAAAAAAACTGTTAGCAAGGCTGAAACTATTTCCAAAGCCACCTATTTTCACTGAATGCAAAAGAGTTAACGATCTTTTTTTTCCTACAAGCCCTTTGACACAACATTCATGAAAATGCATATACAGTATACTTCATTATATTTCATGGTGGTTTACAAATGATTTTTTTAAACTGGTTGTATAGATTCCAAGGGGAATGTGTTTAAGCAACTCCACCAAAAATACAGCATTTGAAAGCGACATTTAAACTCACAAGGCTATTAAGCCTGATAACCATGGCACTACCATATATTTAAGATACACAAAAAGGCAAAAAGAACACAACGAACATCTATGTACCCATCATTCCGCTTAAAAAGTAAACATTACAATACAACTGATGCCTCCCCATGCAGTTCTTCCAAATCACATCCTCCTCACCTTTCCCTCCAGAGAAAGCCTCTACTTTCAATTGCAGTCTTATCATTCTCATGTTTCTCTTAAACTTATTATACATACACAGTGTTATATCCCTAAATCCAGCTAATTCTTGATTTTTAAAAGATTATTGATGAATCTGGTTTGCTAATACTTCCTTTAGTTATTGGGTAGAATTAGCTTATACTCTTCCTTTCTCGTATTGTCCTTATCTGGTTTGAGCATCAAGGTTACTATACTAGACTCATTACACAATTTAAGGTGGTTTCTTTTTTCTTTCTTTTTTAATTCTCTGGAAGACAGGTTAGCAGATGTTACCTGAAAATTAACTGCAACTGTTTGTTGTTTGAAAAATTTTTAAAGACAATTTCTAATTTTTAAATTAGACTGAATTTAAATTTTTAACAGTGTTAAAATAATTAATGTCTGCTTTCTTCAAGTCTATTTTGCTAAATTATATTTTCCATTTCTTCTATATTTTTAAAATTTACTGGGCATACGATTCTTCATGGTTGTCTTAATAATCTTTTAAAGTCTCTGTTGTAGCCACTTACCCTTTTTTCATTGCAGTGTCATTAACTCCTGTTTTTTATTGCTCTTGTCAATCTTACTTTTCCACTTTGGTTTCTTCCCAGAACAAACTATCAGTAGCTGATCCTCTCTATTGA